GATTTCTCGGTTTTTTGATTTTTTAATTTTTGGATTTTCGGTTTTCCAGTCTTTCGATGTTTCCATTTTCCAATTATCCCATTTCTCGATTTTTCAATTTTTCGGTTTTAGGTTTTTTTCATGTTTCGATTTCTTGACGTCATTGTTTTTTGATTTTTAAATTTCTTAATCTTTCAGGTTTTCGATTTTTCAAATTTTCGAATATTTTAATTTTTCTTTTTTGTTTCTCAGTGTTAATATCATATAATGTATCGAAAATAACCCCAAAAATTGTCACTAAAAAGATTTAAAAAGTCATACAAATTGGAATAAAATGTTTCCAAAACATAAAAATAGCTGATATCAGATCAGCATTCTGGGTATAAGGAAAATGCTATATTTTAGTTTTTTTAATATTTTGTAGAAAAACACGCTAATCTAGTTAATGTATTTGATTAAATTGCACAATTTTCGAATAAATATGGAAAAGTGTAATGTTTTTCAGCGATCGTTGAAATTGCGAGGTTCATTATTCCCTCCAAGTTTTCTAATTTAACTTCTTCTTTCTACTATCGTCTGCAAATCAGATATTGTTAGAGGTTTCTCTGTGCACTAATTCCTCTTTGCAATTCCTGCAACGCTCAACTAAAACTTCTTCGCTGTTTTTCGGCGAACTGGATTTTTAATTTTTTCGATATTTTTGTCGCCCCGGACCGACTAGTGGTGCTCTTGATACGCATGGTTGGTCTAGGTTACTTTCACGGTATTGGCGCCTTCCACGGGGGCGGTTGCTCGGGCGCCAGCACATGGAGTACTCTAGCCGGACAAACAGATCTCCAGTGGATAGAAATAATAAAACGGTTAAAACTATTGGATTAAAGGGAAATTTTTGGCAAAAAGTACAGTAAAGTAAAGAATAGAATACTTTTTTACGTAGTATGCGATTCTAATTATATCTGGTATTGAAAGTGGGAAATTCTGTTTCTGAATATTAAAAAAAAAATGTAGTTCACTTGCAATAATAACCCGTTTTAGTAAAATTGATTAAAACTTACAGGTGCCAGCTGGTATTTTTCACAACTTTCCACAAACTAAACCAAACAATGTTGATTAATTAATTTAAATAGTTTTGGTCAATATTTAACACAAGGTTTATTGGTAAATTAATAATTATAACCTGGGGCAGCAAAATAATCGGAAAGAGGTAACTCCATTATGAATACTGATTAACCATTAATTTACAACATTATGTTTCAGGTAGATGCTTTTAACAATCAATTATCGTAACCGAATGACCACAATAGTGGCTCAATAGTAACGCTGTTGTTTTTCGGTCGCTGTGGTTAAGTAAACATAATTGACTTATATATGTATAAATTTTGACCTAAGTTTTTCACAAAAATAAAAGATCAGACCGAAGAACGTCTAAAACAGTGCCATGTGTATTGTTCGTGCTATAAATCATCGTTGCACTTTTTAAATACGTGAACTTATCCGACTAACTTTGATAGTTTGGACTTTATGGTCTTCTTTATGAAACAGCCGCTAAGCTTGCAGCGTAATCAACTCGTTTTAATGACACATGTCCGAGGCGTAATTAAAAACGGCTATTGGACGTAAAGTAAAAACATTTAAACTTTTCCTGCTTCTGCTACTAATCTGCAGATTCCACCGCCATTTAATTTTATTGCCATAATTCACTGACACAGTTCCATCGTGCAACTACCGAACAATATGTCGACCTTCGTCATCTGTCGCCAGTGCTGCCACGTTAATCCCAGTTATTATTTACGACGAAAATTCCGGGAGCAAAAATTTCAGATTAATATATTGAGTCGCGTTCGTTCCCAATCAAGGCTGATTCAGCGGCGAAACAATGCCGGCCTCGAATATTCTCATTTCGACTAGATTCGCACTCGCATTGTCTTCCCGGTGAATTAAAATAAAATCAATACGGGATACGTACCACCATTTAAAACTAGCACTTTTGTATTCCGTTCGTAGTTCGTAGTCTTCTGGCATCCAGTAGTGTTGCTGTTTGCTTGAATACAAATTTTGCATTTGTAAATAATCGCCCAGACGGGCTTCTTTGGCGATAATCAAGTTCCGAGGCGAGGGAGTGTGCTTAATTTTATCAAGCTCAAAATAAGGCCGGGCCGCTGACATAAAAGGCGGTCTTAATTCCAGAGGAAATAAAAAGAGTTAAATGTTGATGAATGGGGGTTGGTGAAAAATTACGTGCTTGGTGGTATACGAATAAGTACCTAATAAATAAAAAGATAGGAAAAAACTGCTGTATTTTTTTTTTAGAATATAGTGTGATTAAAATAAAATACAAGTATTCCTCTTTCGTGCTTTACGGCGGCTATTTTTTGTATCGTCTGGAAAAAAATTGCTGAACAAGATGCTTAGTATTCTACAGAAAGAATTCGTAAATTAGAGAGTCGCTTCTAACTCATAATCGATTCCAGTTAGCTTTTATTAATACTAATTTAGAACACGATAAGCCACCAGACGCAACACTAACAGGTTAAATCAAACGGAGTCACTCGATGTACGAGAGCGTAGTTTAAGCTCTGAGAATTTTAATTAAACCACCTGTTTTCAAGTTAATCATTGTGATTAGCCATTTCATCAATTGGCAAATTTTGGGCTTTTTAAAAGAAAAACCAAAGCTTTTCTTTTTTCGAAAAATATTTTGTGTGCAGTTTTCGCTAAATGCTGAGCTTTAAATTTCATTCAGGCCAAAACTAGAAGTTACGTTTTAGTTTTTGTTTGGCTACTCTTATCTGTAGAGAGCGAATTTCTAGGTTTAATGTGAGCTTGTGTGAAAACCGTAAGTCCACTATTTTTTTTTTATCTATTTTCCTTTGTTAATCCTGTATATGTACGTTGTTTTAGATTCAAAGTGATAAAAAATATAACGTGACGCAACATGTCAGAACGACTCTTCATGTAGAAAGGAAGAAAATGTTTGAAGTTTCTAAAATTAAACAGCAGACCATACATGAATCTGTTGCATCTACTTCCACAAAAGATGAGCAGTTTCAGTTTAATTTCGATTTATGTAAAATGATGATCCAGTCCAATATACCTTTAAAAAAATTGGACAAAGGCCCTCTTCAAGAATTCCTTGAAAAACACTGCAATCGACATATTCCGGTTGAAAGTACTCTCCGAAAAAATTATGTAGGCCCAGTGTTTCAGCAAGTTTACAATGAAATTAAACATCGCATTGGAGATAATTATTTATGGTTCGCTGTCGATGAAACAACCGATAGTTGTGGAAGATACGTGGCAAATTTAATTGTTGGAATCTTAAACGAAAATTTCCCTAGTCGAGGGTAGGTATGTAGTAAGTTTGAAAATGTTAGATAAAACAAATGGCAATACGATTACCAGATTTGTAAATGACAGTCTTAGTTACTATTTTTGTCAAATGCCGTACCGGCGAATAAAATTTTATTGATGATCTCGGATGCAGCTCGTTATATATTGAAAGCAGGGAATAATCTAAAAATATTGTACTCCCATTTAATTCACTCTACTTGCATTGCCCACGGTTTAAACAGAGTGTCCGAAGGAATACGTTTGCAGTTTCCTACTGTTAATAAATTAGTGGCAAATGGTAAAAAGATTTTTGTTAAAGCCCCACTAAGAGTGCAACATTTTAAGGAAAAATTTCCAAACATACCATTGCCCCCAGAGCCGATTATAACGAGGTGGGGAACACGGTTACAAGCCACATTTTATTATGACAAATATATCAAAGAATTTGAGGAAGTAGTTACGGAGTTTAGCGAAGATTCTTCTCAATCGATTAAAGATTGCATAAATATTTTGGAAAACAAAGATTTGCGACAAGATCTAGCTTTTCTAAGAAGCAATTATCAATTCGTATGTGAGGTAATAGAAAAGTTAGAAAAACCCAACATGTTGGTAGATGCCATAAACTTAGTGAAAGAATTTAAACAACAAGCAAACGCAGTAAGGGGTGATATTGGTACTAGAGTATCTCAAAAACTTGACGAAGTGTTAAATAAAAATGCAGGTTTCGGTGTTCTTTCCGACGTTGCTCGTGTTTTACAAGGCCAGAAGGTGGAAAATTTGGAGTTAGATTCAACATTAGTTGCAAAATTCAAATTTGCGCCAACAACGAGTGTGGATGTTGAACGCACATTCTCCAATTTTAAACACATTTTAAATGATCGGCGAAAAAAATTTACAGTGGACAACGTGGAACATATTACAATCATAAATTGTTTTAAAGAAAACTGAAATACGTGTGTAAAATATAAAGTCTAGGATTATTGTAATAATATTTTATCCAAAGTTCTAAGAAGTGTTCTTTGATTTGTAATATGATTATGTTTTTAATGCTTTTTTGCTTAAAATAAAACTTTTTTATTGAAAATGTTGTGCTTATTTAAGCGCTTACTCTTAATTTTTTTTGTGCTTATAAATCCGCTCTCTACTTATCTGGCTTATTTTTAATTCTAAATTTAAAGTCAAATATTGCTTCAAGGTAAATTAAATGATCAAAGGAACTTACCTTAAGTGAAGTTCGATCATAATTATGCAAGGCATCTGGCTCGAAGATATCATAAGAGAAAACATGTAGTATCGCTTTCTGGTACTGCTGGCACTAGGTTTAAAGAGTGGAGAAACTCTGGTAGACTCCCCTCTCCCTCCACAATCGGTGCGGTATGGGTTCATTATTTTGAAGGAATTTGTAACAATCATAACTAGCAGGTAAATGTTGATAAGCACGACCATCACATTTAGGGCTTTGGGGTGGGTTATGATATCTTCGAGCCAGATGCCTTGCATAATTATGATCGAACTTCACTTAAGGTAAGTTCCTTTGATCATTTAATTATGCTGCGGCATCTGGCTCTCGTATATCATAAGAGAAAACATGTAGTTGTTTAAAGAGTTATATTGTTACAAAACTGGGTACTGCTAAACGTCAACAGAACAAAGAGAAATTTGATAGGAGAGCGTTCCTCTGATATGGAATATTAGGTCCCTGGTTCTAGAATCGAACGAGCAAAAGCGAAATTATCATGCAAGGGACAATTATAGAACCGCGCAAACACTGTGGAGCGATGACTCCAACCCGCCGTTTGGTGGATGGTTTGTAAAGATACGCCCCTTCTAAAAGCAGAAGAAGTGGCAGCGTGGCGTGTGGAATGCGTGGTAAATAGGTCTGTATCGACGCCGGCTTCAAAGAGGATTTCTTTAATCCATCGACTAATCGTATCGCGGGACGCTCGATTATGCGGTTTTCTGGTCTGAATAAACAAGTAATCTGGGCTAGAATGTCGTATGTCCTCAGTTTCGTTGAGATAATTGAGTAATGTGGTTGCGGCACATATAGAAGGGTTTTCCGTAAAGAAGGGTAGCTGAAGACAGGGTTGCGTTCCAGTCCAGGACGAAGTTTTGATTGTCTCCGTAATGAAAATTTGGATACCATCAGAGGACCGCTTGATGTTCGAGAGGCGAATTAAATGAATCGACTGGGTGCGATGTCCGGTTGTCAATAATAACAGTGTGGCAAGTTTTTGGGACAACTGTTTCAAGGTCAAGTTATCAGTGAAGAAATTTCCCAAATAGTCCAGAACGATTTGGGGGTCCCAAGTGAAACGATATTTCCTTTCAGATGGTCTTAGCTGGGAAATACCCTTCATGAATCGTTTAACGAGAGGGTCAGCCCCGATGTTGTGATTCAGAGTTAAAGCGAGCGCCGAGCGGTGACTGTTAAATGTTCCATATCTGCAACCTGTAGTGTCCAATACGTGCTGAAGAAAAACAAGAACTTGACTGGGCGTAGCCGAAAACATCGGCACCTTGTGTTCAATGCAGTAAGACCACCACATTTTCCACGTAGAATTATATTGTAATATTGTTGACTTGGCCACCGAATGGATGATGGTATTTATGGCTTCCTCTGGAACATTTCGGAACTTAAGTGCTTGGCTGATAAAAGTCCTGCTACCAGGGTAAGCTGAGTTGACAGGGGGTGTGGTTGACTGCAAGGTAAAGATAACAAATCTGAACTTGGTGCAAATATAAGAGGATCTTGTGTAAGTAACTTCAAGAAAATGGGATACCAAGGCTGTGTGGGCCAGAAAGGCACAACCATAATGCCTTCCGCTTGGTCATTCACAATTTTGTTGAGGCACCTCAAAATTAAACAAAATGGAGGGAAGGCGTAAAAAAATAAGCCTGTCCATGGAATTGTGAAAGCATCGACATGTTCTGATTCGGGATCGCGCAGTAGAGATACGTATCTTCGACACTTGTGGTTAGCTTTAGAAGCAAAGAAATCAATTTGTGGAGCACCAAATCGTAACGTGATTTGGTTGAAGGCTCCGTCCGACAACTCATATTCGGTTTCCTCGGGAAGCCTGCGTGATTCCGAATCTGCTACTGTATTTTTCCCCGAGTTAATATATGAAGCAAAAAGCCATAAATTTCTTTCTTCGCAAAATTCCCAAATATCTCTTGCTAGTTTAGACATCGCTGGGTATTGTATACTGCCCATGCGGTTAATGTATGATAAGGCAGTCGTATTGTCCGTTCTGATTAAAATGCTGCAAGATTTTTTATACTTTGCAAAGGATTTTAATGCGTAAGCAATTGCCAAAAGTTCTAGATAATTTATGTGATGTTGTGCTTCAGTAGCAGTCCACCAGCCATGTGTCTTTTCGTCGTCGCAACAGGCTCCCCAGCCAGTAAGAGACGCGTCAGTATGAATTACAAAGTCGTAGTTGTCAAAACGTATGTCATTGTGAGAGGTTTGAATTGCTGATTCCCACCATAAGAAATCATTCTGCAAGGTTGAAGAAAGGGACATGTATGTGTCATAATTCATATGGTGATCTCTTAACGCTTTGAACTTCTCCCGCTCGAATGCTTTAGTGTACATTAGTCCGTACTTTATCGCCGGACAGGCCGATACAAGTGTCCCTATAAACTGTGCAAAAGCCCTAATTGAACAACGGCTTCGGTTTTTAAAATCGCGAATCATATTAAGATTCTTCTTGCGCTTTTCTATAGGAAGGGAAATTGTCATGGTGTGGCTGTCCAAGATGAAACCCAAGAATTTGCATCTCTGCGATGGAATAGTTTGGGATTTATCCCAATTAATTAAAAACCCCAATGAAGTTAACACCTGGACAACCACAGATACATTTCGAGAGCAAGCATCCCCCGAGTTCCCAAAGATGAGAAAATCGTCCAGGTAGATCACGCAACAAATGCCACGAGAGCGCAAACGGGATGCAATAGGGCGTGTGAGTTTTGTAAAGACCTGAGGCGCTGATGCCAAACCAAATGGCATACAGGTGAATTCATATAATTGGCCATTATGTTCGAAACGAAGATATTTTCGATGGTCAGAGTCTACGTTTATCATAAAATAGGCATCCTGCAGGTCAATCGTAGACATGTAGCAGCCCTTTCGCATTAGCCGGGCAGCTGTTCGATGATCTTCCATTTGAAAATGAGAATTGGCCACAAATGTATTTAGTTGCTTAAGATTTAAAATGAAACGATCTTTCCCATTTGGTTTTTTGACTAGAAAAATTGAGGAAATGAACTGATCGTTGCGCGGCAGGCATTTGCGGACTGCGCCCTGAGCTAACAAGTGCTGGACGGCGCGGGTGATTTTTCCCTTTTCGGAGACAGAAAAATTTTTGTGCCTGGGAATAAATCGTTGCTGAACTTCCCGAGAAAAAGGGATTTTATACCCCGCTATATGGTCCAGCAACGTTCGGCTAGTAGAAATTGACCGCCATACTGAATGAAATTTCCGCAGGCGGCCTGCTATGTGTGGTACCTGTGTTAATGGTGGCGCCTTGTCCGTTGCTGTTTGTACGAGGGAGTTTTCGGTCCTCTTTGTCTGCCCCCCCCCCGGTGACGAGACGGACCTGGCCGGTTTAAATTCTGGCGATAGGAACCGTGCTGTTGGTGGGTTGTGCGGTAAGCCGGCATCGAAGTAGAGGAAGGTGCAAATTTCTTAGTTGGAGTTGGTGTCGATTTTTGTTTGAGCTCTTGGCTGGCCTTCTCCAAATATTTGGCGTTTTTAACTCTCTCGGTTAGGTCGTCCCCAAAAAGAAATTCACCTGGAGGGGTCTCGCGCGTAAGTTCGGCGACTGATTTACTGAGGGAAGGCGCAATCCGCTCGCGCCGGTCTTTAGATAAACAAAACATCAGGTCGGTAAGCACTTGCCCGGCTTGGGTGAGAAGCGGCAAAACTTGACTTGCGGAGGTGTTGTGGTTTGTGATAATTTCGTTAATGCTTTTTCCCAGGAAGCTAAGCCCCTGGCCCAACTGCGCTTGAGCTGCGCTCCGAGAGTCGTCACGGGTTTGATTTGGGCCCGACAAAATATTTCTGACGATCGGATTCAGTTTCGGTGGGATTAAGAATTCGCCATTGGACGGGATGACAACGTCTTGCAAAAGTGTCGCTTTTTTGGCCGGGTCTAAGCCCTGACAGCAAATTCTTTTCCAGCTGGCTGACAAGGTCGAGTGAAACTGATACGGGGCAGCTACTGATGGGCCGGTCTCACCGAGCATTTCCAGTACGTGCGGGTCGAGCGCCACGTCATCGTGTTCCTGGAACGCCGGCTGTGCAGCGTCAAGGTTAGCTTCCGGATCGCTTAAGTGCGTAGGTTCAGACTGCACGGATTGGTTAGAATGGCGACCTATTTCACCTGCAGCATCGAGTACAGCCGAACCAGGCGTTGCCGTGCCACGCAGGCGACGGCCAACGTCGTCGTGAGGATGTTCGTCTACGGCACGCAGCTCGTAACCCGAACCTGTAGAAAGTTCGTCCGCGGCACGCAGCACGCGACCCGAACTTGTAGAGGGTTCGTTCGCGGCACGCAGCACGCGACCCGAACTCGTGGAGTACGGGGGGCTTCGATGTCGTTCAGCTTCGATTCTTCGCAATCGTTTCCAAAGTTCTCGCCGGTCGTCCTCGGAGCTGGAGGAAGAGCGATGACGACGTTTGCGGGATTTGTGATGACCCATTGTTCAGTCACAGGCGACGAGCGGACGTGCGACGTGCCAAGCTCGAGCACTAGAAAACGAATGAACCCATACCGCACCGATTGTGGAGGGAGAGGGGAGTCTACCAGAGTTTCTCCACTCTTTAAACCTAGTGCCAGCAGTACCAGAAAGCGATACTACATGTTTTCTCTTATGATATACGAGAGCCAGATGCCGCAGCATAATTCAGTATTTACTGTAGAGTAAAAGCCTGCAGAATTTTCATTGTCCTGAAAATTTGTTTATAAGGTTGAAACTTATTTTTTACAACATTGATTAGTATTTTAATGTTACTGCTATCAGGTCCCATCAGATAAAGTCAGGTCAGGATTGGTGAAGTCAAATTAGATCAGGTCAGGTCAGGTCAGGTCAGGTCAAGTCAGGTCAAGTCAGATCACATTAGGTCAGGTCAGGTCAGGTCAGGTCAAGTCAATTCATGTCAGATTATAAGTTTTTATAGGCCTAACAAAACAGAAACTGGGAAGATTATTACTATACAAACCAACCTTAAACGATCAAGAACGGCTTGGGACCTAGTAAAGAAAAGAGCTAGCAAAATCAACTCAAAAATGGCAGTGAATGGCAGGAAAACCTAGTGACCTTAATAAAATCGAGAGAGAAATAAGAAAACAGCGAGAATATAACATGAGGAAAGAACAAGGAACAAAGTGACGGGCACCGAAAAGAAGAGAAGAAGAATTCAAAAAAGAGATAAGTATTTTGACAGACGAGAAAAAGCCAAAAGATGCAGAGAAGTTGTTGAAGTTCTTACTTACTAAGACGAAGACGGCGAAAAAACACCCTGTCTGTATTGGTGGACAGAAGAAGTGGCAGAGGCGAGAAGAGAGTGTATAAAAAAAAGAAGGAAAATGCAGCAAATAAACGCAAAAGCTAAAACCAAACAGGACGAGAAAGTAAAGATGGAAGCTGAATACAAGGAAGCAAGGGGAACATTTAGGAAAATAACAATACAATCAAAAGAGAAGAAATGGAAGAAGTCTGTTCAGAAGTGGGCGCGGATTCCTGGGGAAAGGGTTTTAGATAGTAAGTAGAAAAATTGGGGCGAATTCGAGAGCAACATTTGAAGGTGAAGAACTCAAAGAAATTGCACGAAAAATGTGTGTGAGAATTGTGTGGGAGAACCGAACAATAATAAACGATAGAGGAAAAAACGAAGTGACGGAGGAAGAGATTGTTGCAGCGGTAAGTCATATAAAGGCAGGCAGGGCACCAGGACCAGATGGAATACCACCTGAGGCGATAAAATGGTTGGCAGAGAAGAGATCAAGAGAAGTAGCAAAGATGCTGAACGGATTGTATCAGCAAGGAACATTTCCAACACAGTGGAAGCGAGTAAGAGTTTTAAGAAGGAACAACAGACATCATTGGATGTAGACCCCATGTATATGTTGGACACAATGGAAAAGCTATATGAACAGGTCATAGTTGCAAGGCTGAGAAAGGAAATGGAAGAAAAGCGAGCCATCAGTGACAACAAGGACAGATTCAGACCAACTAGGTCAAGTGAGAATGCCATGGAAGAAGTCATGGGGTGGCGAGGAAGATCCTATGCCTACTGGTGATCCTGGATGTCAAAAATGCTTTCAATATCGCCAGGTGGGATGGCATCATGAGAGAGATAAAAGAAGACAAATAACGGTAGAATTAACCTCTCAGATAGATGCCTAAGTGTCGATGGCCAATAAATGAAAATAACAGCTGGAGTGCCACAAGGGTCCGTCTTAGGACCAGTACTATAGACGATTCTAGGATACACAGATGACTTCGCGCTGGTGGTGATAGAGAAAGACAGGACACAGAGAGAATGCGACCAATAAAGCAGCACAGATAATCAAGAAAGGGTTGGACAAAGCGGAAATATGTAGATATGGCGACCGAAACGACAAAAGCGGTAATTTTTGAGGGACGACGAAAGATGACAGAGGTGATAATAAGAATTGGAGATGAAGAAATACACATTATAGACAGAACAAAATACCTAGGAGTGGTATTTGAAAGAAACTGGAACTTTGCCAAACATATAGAAGCAGTAACCAGTAGAGCAGAGAGAAAAACGATGCAGCTAAGTAGGCTGCTAAAAAGTTCCTCAGTCTTAGACAGAGATTTATAAATGATTATATGACAGTTCTCACTTTTCATTAATGTCGTTTGTAATCTGTCATTTAAACGCAGGGTGGATGTATTCTGTAACCGCTTGTAGGCAAAAATATCTGGTTATATACCCTGATTTGCAAATTCAAGAAACATCGTTAGAAGCCCACATTAGAGAGTAATCAACAGATTTATTCGAGCTGGCAGGGTCAACAAAGGGAAATCTCCAGGAAGACCTACAGTATTTGAGGAAGTTTTTGATGATTTGAGACGACTCGAGGAGAATACGCAAATATCTTTGACAAGATTGTCACAGCAGTCAGGAGTTCCTGTTGCAACATACGAAAGGATATTACAAAATATTTTCAATATTTACTGTGATGTTTAACCATAATAAATTTGTTTTTTTTTTATTGTAATGAAGTAGTTTTACTTTTTATTGCGATATTAGTCATTTAGGCAACACGTTATACAGATGCGTGTGGTATTTGTCGTGAATCCTTCGCCTTTAGTAAAGTCCATATAAAGCGATAGGCGGCACGCTTCTGTAACCTACTTCGACCCTATTTTCATTAATAGAAAACCTGTATATCTGAGTCTCGCCCTTCTCTAAAATTCCCCTTCCTTCTTCGCCTTACTTTTTATCTCGTCGATGAGTCATTTCAGTTCTTCTAGATGGACTTTCATTTTTTCATTGAACCCATTCATTCTCTAATTTTCTTCATCAGAAAGTCTTTTTCACTATTGTCTTTTGTGAGCGTCTTGTCTATGTGTCGGCAATACGTTGATTTTTTTAAGAATTTCTGAACTTTGCGCTTAACCTCTGTTACTTTTTTATCAGATTCTTCATTATTAGATCTTTTATTTTATTATTAATATTATTTTCGAATTTTACTCCCCTTGCCCTGGACTCGAAATAGTTTTTTTTCCTTTCCTTCTTTCGGAAGAAGTCTTCGAAATTCTCTAACTTTTTATACACCGGTGTTTTCGATGCCATCGTTTCACCAGCGCTCCAACTGTGTGCCATTTTCTTGAAGATTCCAGTTGCTCTCTCTTCTTCTTTTGCTTTGATCGTTCCTTCTCTCGCAATAACATGTTCTTCCTCCGGGGAGATAATGTAGGATACTTTTTCTATTTTTTCAATTAGCAGTTCCCTGCCTCTGTACAGGACTCCTTACTATGCGGGGTCTCTCCCGAAAGACCCTGTTCTAACCCTCATCTCCCTTGCCAACTTCCTGTTTCTTCGTTCTTTCAACTTCCTCTCCGCGTTTGAGGAAGTGGTTCGTAAATTTCACGTTTACTTCACCACTTCTAGTAGATTTTTTCAGCATTGAGGCTTGGTCTTCCACCATCTGACCTGGCCAGACCTTTTTTTTTCTATGAAAGGGAAAACTCTCATGGGCGTCAGGGACTTAGGTTCGACCGTCTCTAGTAATGCCCGGACTGTTATCGGCTAAATCCCTTTGCTCGACCAGTTGTTCTCCTACCACCCGGGAACCGCGTTGGCATTACTTCGCTTCCTTTCGCTTTTTTTGTCTATCCATCCATTTTTCCTTTTTTTCCATAGCCCTATCATGTGTTGATTCTGCAGGCATGCATTTTTTTTTATATACATATAATCGTCTTATGTCTTTTTTTTCCTTGATTTACTTGTGATCTCTCTCTTCTTATTCTCATTCATTCACCTCTCTCACTTTTTCCCTTCTTTCTCTTTCACTGTTGTACTTGAATTTCCTTTTTATTATGGGCACTGGCATCCTTTCTATTGATATCTTCATCCTTTGACATCAGTTCAATCATATTATCTACATTCACTTTTTTACTCACTTCCATTTCGCATTCTTCTCTCACCCTCGTCCATCTGTCACATTCAAAAATCGCGTGCTCCAGGTTTTCTTCCACCCCTTCCTCGTAATACCAGCAAGCTGCACAGTCAAACTTGCCTATCCAAAACTCCCATGACCAGTGAGCATCTCTAGCCTTCCCCTTGCATGCTCCTGAGAAGGCCGACCTCGGCTCCCTCTCCCTCTTATTCTTCCTTCTCTTAGCCAGTGCGCATAGTACCTCTCCGGACACTCTACGATACGCACAACATACTTGCAGAAGCATGTTTCTCTGAACACCCAGAAGCATTTGTCGATACTTCTATATGCGGTATTCATCGATTCACGTCTCCGCCCTATACAACAAAATCCTATAGACGACACTACATAATACTCTCGTCGGCCCACAGCACCCACAACCATTTTCGCCTTACTTACCACTCGTTTGACTTATTCGGCCGTGAACGGGGGAACCCTCATGGGCACCAGGGACTTAGGTTCGACCGTCCCTGGTAGTGCTAGGACTTTTACCAGTTAAAATCACTTTCTCTCACTCCCCGGGAATCGTGTTCCTAATCATATGTACCTCACTGCTTCCCGGGTCTCAACCGTTCTACCTTCCACACACACTTATCTCTCGAATCGTTCTTCTTCCTACCAACAAGTGAGAGAGACCATCCATACACCCACGAGCCTCAGTGCCTCTTTGGTACTTTCTCTCAGGTCCTCTTCATTGTTTCCTATCATTATCACAGCCAGATCGTCCGCGTATCCGATGAGCTTTCCCTCATCAGGTACCTCCATTCTTAAAACCTTGTCATAAAATACTTAGGTATGTTCTACAGGAGCGGCCCCAGGACCGATCCCTACGGAATAACGGCAGTCATTTCAAACTAGCCCGTCTCTGTTTCAGAATCGCCTTCCACAGTAACCATCACACAAAACCGTCGGGTACCCCATGTACCCACATTTGCTCCTCTAGCATACTCAAATGCATCCATCGGCTCTGAATCCGTACTGCGTCTCCGCTAAGTCACCGGGCCTCTG